GAAAGCAAATTCGGTTGATAAATGATGAGTCTATCAATTCTATTAACTTATAAACTCTAAAACTGGTTTTGTAAAAGGAATGACAACAGGCCAAATGATTAAATTTCTTGAATTTCATTTTCAAGGATTAGCATTGAATAATCTTGCCTTCATATGGTATTAGTATGCAGCCTCAGGTGGTGCAAGTCTTCAAATGGAATATTAGATTAAATTACTATAATTACGAAGATACAAAAATTTGTATTCTCTCGTGGAACCAGATAATTAAGAGCACAGTTCAGAATTTTTTTGTTGTAATTAAATTAAAATATCGGTCAATTCGATAATCATTTTATTTTTTATTTTTAGATTTAATTTGTTTTTAATTTAGAGATGGAGCAAAAGTATGATGCGAAGTTCATGGGAAGAATTTATAGGTAAGAGCTGGTAAGCATATTAATCGGACGGCAGCTAGGGCCGGCAAAGAAGCTAGCATAGTGAAAATATGCTCTAACTAGCAAAAAAAAAAAAGAAGAAAAGTAACGAAATGATAGCATTTTAGATAAGGACAACGAAATTTTCAAAACATCTAAACATTTATTAGTCCAATAAGACCTAGGTTTACTCTATGCACCCCGTTATCTCATCTAAACCCAATAATAAAGGCATTATCAAACTTTGCAACATAATGCATCTCTCTCTCATTTTTGGGTGAGAGGGATAGCCAACAATAAACTCATGGACAATTTCATTAAGTATAATACTAGCATTCATACTTTGAAGGATGAGCCCATTCTTCATTATGCAAGTAATGTATATTTATCATACAAATCTTATAATCGGAATTGTTCAATTTCTTAATCTTCATTCAAAGATCACAGCTATAGAAAATCATTTGAATCGGAGATCATTTAGTCATTAAAATGTATAGAACGTACAAATCAACGGTGTAGATACCAAGTAACATATTCATGGTGAACCGTTCATTTATTTGATATGTTTGAATGATTAAACGATTTTCAATTCAAATGATTTTTTTGTATGAGTGATCTTCAAATGATGATTAAGAAATTAAATGATTTCGATCATTAAGTTTATATACTCAAAATACGTTATTTGCAAATGTAAGAATATGTGCATCCCTTCATGGGGATGCAAAGTATTATCCTTCCATTAATCTTAAGAGTAACCTACACTTACCACATTTCTAATAGAAATAGGACTTACTAATATATGTAAATCTCATCTCTATTAGAAATGTGATACAAATATGATATAAAAAAAATGCTAAAATATCACTTTTGTAATCTCAATTGAACTGCATCTATCCAGACACCCCCACCTTTTTAACCCCGCTTTTATTAAAACCTAATGATTTTTCTCCAGTTTCTACAAATCAAACTACAAATACAAGTATAAATAGATGGTAATTGTAGAAATTGCTTAATTGCTTAATTGTAGAAACACATCCCTGAATATAGGCCATAAAAAAATTGCTTAATTGAATTAGAAGTCAACGGACCTAAATCGATTAGTAAAATGGTTTTATATCTAATTTACCCTAATACTAAACAAGTAGAAGATGAAACACCAATCCAGAAAAAGAAGAGAATAAAATCCCATGCGAAACCCCTAAATTCAAACTTGGTTGTCTTAGTTTGTACATGAAGATAATGTAATAGACTCTCTCTAATTTTGTGCTAGTTTTTTTCCTCCTCCGTGCCTCTTTCCTTTACCCTTCGTAGAACCTCAGTTTTCCCATTAATCAACGATGACGTTATTAGCATGTGCCGTACACTCTGTTTTGTAGCACTAAGTACCGCCTAAAGTGGAGCTATAAGCTCATCAGTCGGGGTATAGTTTGTCCTTTTTCCGTTGAACGCCTTCTTTTCTCCAAAGGCAGTTTTCGCCCAATCTTCAATTTTAGCCATCCGGTATTCAGATTGTGTGGCGATAAGTGGCTTCGTGGTTTTTCCCTCAAAACTACCTTGCTTTTCTTCAAAAAGCAGCTCCACTTTTCCACCTTTCTATTACCGTGTCGCTAGGGTTACATGATGACTTTTGTCTTTGATGACTGAATGTGCTTTGCTTTTAAGATGAGACTTGACTTGAGTATCTCACTTCATTTAATGATCACCGTTATAAAAAAAATTTGATTAGGAGATTATTTAGTCATTAAAATATATAGTACAAATTATACTAAGTAATATATTCATAGTTAATTGTTTATTTATTTGATATGTTTGGATAATTAAATGATTTTCGGTTTGATTTTTTTTTTGTATGAGTGGTCTTCAAATAATTATTAAGAGATTGAATAATTTCGATCGTTGAGTTTATATGCTCAAGATTTACAAATGTAAGAATATGTGCATCCTTCAAGGGGATGCAAATCTCAAGAGTAACATTATACTTATCACATTTTTCATATCATATTGTATCATCTCTTTAATAGATGTATAACTCATCAATACATGTAGATCCGTCTTTATTAGAAAGGTAGTATAAATATAATATAAAAATGATAAAAGTAGTATTTTTGGGTAATGCTAAAGCTGATTTGGAATTGTGGTGTTTTAAAAAAAAAAACCACGTATTAAAAAATCTGAAGTATTAAATGTGTTTAGAAAAATACAAAAAATGTTACTAGCCGCTTAACTCCGACACTAGACTAGTTTAATGGTAATGCTGCTATCTATTTTATGCTTTTCCACATTCTGAAACATGTTAATGAATGATTGTTAGGCAAATAGCGCACAGGAAAAATAGCTTCATTGAAACATCAACATTTGCAAGATAAAATATGAGTAATGCTAAGGAGATAGGAGACTACCTATTTAAAATATATTTTACAAAAGTTTAATTATATTTAAACGCCTAAAATTTGAGGTTTATTTTTATTTTTTATTATATCAAACATCTGTGCTTTTTAAGATTTTGAGTAAGACGCTTAGTTACATTAGGTTACATCAATATTTTTTTTATTTATCAAATTATAAATTATGATTATAATTTTCAAAATTATGAGGAATCATTGATATGGTATAAAAATGCCAAATGACTTTCAAGACGGAAGTTGTCCTATAGAAGGGCCTAATGAAGTTGTAATTGGAATTAGAAGATCTCTTTTAATTGATTCTTAAGAGCGAATTTGTAATTGGAATTAGAAGATCTCTTTTAATTAATTCTTAAGAGCATAAAATTAGTTATTCAGTATATTTTAAATACATGGTGCAAACAAAAGGAACCAAACAGATGGGCCCATGGTGCAAACAAAAGGAACCAAACAGATGCACCAATTCAGGTAATTGAAGGCCCAATCGAAATGGAGCCACAAATCCAACACAACAGACTACAGTGTCTTTCTTCCAAATCTTCTCTGGTTCTATTTTTTTCACAAATCCTAAACCATAATCTCACCTTTATTGAAAGTCTAAGAAGTCAGGCAATATTATCACCCTCCATGTCGTTCATGTTTACTAATTGAGCGAAGTGATAGCTTCTCGTAATCCTTCATTGAGTTAATGCTGACTAATTAAGTTTTCAGGCATGAAGCAAAGCTTATTAGGAGAATTGCTTCCCAGCACAGATGAATTACACATGGCCAAATACCCGGTTGGAATCGACCCTCGTGTTCAACCAATTATAAGTCTTTCAAGTGGTGGACCAGATGATGTTAAAATGGTTGGAATTTGGGAGATGGGTGGATTGGGGAAAACAACCGTTGCCAAAGCCATTTATAGCAAAATTCATCATAGCTTCCAATTCAAATGCTTCCTTGAAGATGTTTGCCACCATGGTACAAGCCAACATGGTCTGCTCTGTTTGCAACAAAAATTTATTTCTGACATCTTACAACATGCCAAGCCTCAAATTATTAGTTGCGTTGCTGCAGGATCACTGTTATAAGACAACACCTCCAACGTAGAAGGGTACTTGTCTTTATTGACAGTGTAGATAAAGTGGAACAACTAAATGCAATAGCTGGAAATTGTGAATGGTTTGGTCCAGGAAGCATACTTATCATAACAACACGAGATGAGCATATACTAAATCAACTTAGAGTGAAAATGAGATATCCAGCTTGGGGAATGAATAAAGAAGAAGCTCTCGAGCTTTTCAGTTGGCATACATTTGAAAATAGTTGCCCTGATGAAGAATATCTGGAATTGTCAAAGAAGGTAGTTTCTTACTGTGGGGGTCTGCCGTTAGCACTCTAAGTTTTAGGCTCTTCTCCTATTGGCAGACCCATAATAGAGTGGGAAAGCCATATGGAGAAATTGAAAAGAATACCTGAAGGACAAATTATAGAAAAACTTAGAATAAGCTTTGATGGGCTAGATGATACTCAGAAGACTATATTCCTTGATATATGTTTCTTTCTTGAAATCGGCCAGGTTGATGTGGAGAAGGATTATGTCACAAAAATATTAGATGGATGTGGCTTATCTCCAATAATAGGAATCAGTGTTCTCTGTGAACGGTGCCTTGTAACTGTTGAACGGGGCATGCTAATGATGCATGATTTGATTCGAGATACGTGCAAGATAATCATTTCTGAAAAATCCCCCACTCAACCTGAAAGATGGAGTAGACTCTAGGACCCCGAAGCTATAACAGATGTGTTGACAAATAAATTTGTAAGTAGATTCCCAACAAAGTTTCATATTAATGCTCGCTAAATTATTTCCTAGTGCATGCTGCTGCCTATATCTTATAATTATTGTGTAGAAATAATATTAAATCGATTTCCAATGGTAACAATTGTTAGTATGCTGATTCATGTTTGTAAATAAATCATTTTTCACACGCAAATTACCCTTTTTATTACTCATCGTATATCCCACTAATCAATGACGAGTACTACAGATGGACCCGAATGAAATGTGCAGTTACAGACGATGGATGGAAAAATATAGAAATCAGGACTAAAATCTCACTTGGAATCCTTTCTATCAACTCCTCTGCTTCGTCTAACAGTCCAGCATAGCCAAGAAGGTCGATCTGGCAACCATAGTGCTCTAACTTTGGCGCAATCTCTCATATATCTTTCTCATGGAGTTGAATAACTCACGACCCTCATCTACCAACCCTCTGTGAACGCAAGCACTTAAGACAACAATGAAGGTGAAATCATCAGGCTTCATGCCAATCTGTACCATTTTCGAGAAGAACTCGATTGCTTTGCTTGTCTTGCCATTCATTGCAAGCCCACAAATGTTTGAAGTCCAAAGACCTAATGCTGCCAACCGAGCACAGACTGTTAAGAGCAACCGCTGTAAATTTATCCCCTTCAACATTTTAGTTTGCATCTCTTGGAATAGAGCCCCGCCTCGTTAAAATGGTAGTATAATTTTATTGTACATACATACCCATCAAACACTTCTCTTGCCTCACCAAACCTACACAATTTACAGAGCCAGATACCATACTAGTACAACAGAACACGTTTATCCCGACATTTCATAAAAAATTCTCCGTCCTTCATTCAAACAACCACATTTATGCATTTCCAGTTCTAATAGTAAATCCAAGTTCGCTTCTAAAATATTCATGAATTTTTTTACCAAGCTCCAAATTTTTCAACGCTGTGCAAGCTGAAATGGTGCTTACAACCGTAGCTTCATCAGGCTTCTCGTTGCTCTCATATCGCATCCCCCGAAACACATCCAAAGCCTCCTCAAACCTCCTGCACCTAAGATACCTCGAGATTGTAACGTTCCAACAAAGCCTGTTTCTCTCAGGCATTTCATCAAACACCTGCTTGAAACTCTCAACCATGTCAATGAGCGAGTTACACACATATGCATCAAACCCAATTCCAGTTTTTACCACAAACCCATGAACCTTCACCTTCCCGAACCTCTCCCAAAGCATCCAAAGGCTTTGAAAACAAATGGTTGTTTCCCGCATTGGAAAACTCGATGTGGGCAAGTCCTTTCTCTACTTCAATGGTCCACAACATCATTTGATTAGACAAATACACATTCACATAGATCATCTAAGTGTGGCACTTGATAAGTGTTTGTATCCTAAAAATCCCTATGTGGAAATAATAATAATAATAATAATAATAATAATAATAATAATAATTTGATTTTTTTTTTTTTTTTTTGTCAAATAACAACAATAATTTGATGGGTGCCCTAACTTTGAAACATTTAACAAATTAATAAGAAGTACTAAATGCATTGACCCAAAAATGAGAAGAACATGGAACATGGGCTTCTTGGCTAAACATTTAATAAATTAGGACGTGGCCTCACTTAACTCAGGTTCCATTTTCATCACCTGTCATTGGTGGAATCCAAACCTCTTTTTTTTTCTTTTTTTTTAAGAGTTTTAACGAAACACTCATAGTATTATTCACTTTTAATGAAAATGATATTTTTACTCTAAAAAGTCACTCATGGTATTATTCATTTACAACACATTTTTGTCATTTTGATTAAAACTCAAATTAAGCCCTTTTCATTAGTGTTTTTTTTTTTTTTTTGGCTTCTTTCCCATTCCTTATTCTTTATCATTTATGTTGTACTTATTTTCCAAAACATAAAAAAGATAAAATTATTTTATTTTTTAAACAAATGATATTATCTACATTGAGGAGAGAGGTGGGCTTAGCCTTCTAATGAGCTAACAATAATGTGATTTAAATTCGACTTTGGCGAACCAAAAACCTCTCACTTACATATAAAAAAAATATCACTAAACCGTAATACTAACTATGTATGCTAGCCAGATAAATATTGGTTTACGTTTTAGTAGATAAAGTTTTTTCTTTTTTTTTTTTTCAATAAACCATGTGTCTCAATAAACAATTGTGCATCATCAATATGGTTATACTAACACATTCGACGTACTTACGCACCCATTACATATGTACAATCGACCAAACCACATGTATGTACCCAATTATTAAATTCATCATAGAGTACAAGAATTTCATTTTATTTTCACTAAGTTCGTCATAGTGTGGCTGTCACATCCCGGCTCGGGACGGATCACTTCCCGAGCCCGCTCCATCACTGTAGCACGATATTGTCCGCTTTGGGCTTACCATTCCCTCACGGTTTTGTTTTTGGGAACTCACAAGCAACTTCCCAGTGGGTCACCCATCATGGGATTGCTCTAGCCCCATTCTCGCTTAACTTCGAAGTTCCTACGAAACCCGAAGCCAGTGAGCTCCCAAAAGGTCTCGTGCTAGGTAGGGATAGAAATATACATATAAGATCACTCCCTTAGGCGATGTGGGATGTCACAATCCACCCCCCTTAGGGCCCCGACGTCCTCGTCGTCACACTACGACCTAGGGTTAGGCTTTGATACCATATTGTCACATCCCAGCCCGGGACGGATCACTTCCCAGGCCCATTCCATTATCGTAGCACAATATTGTCCGCTTTGGGCTTACCATTCCCTCACGGTTTTGTTTTTGAGAACTCACGAGCAACTTCCCAGTGGGTCACCCTTCATGGGATTGCTCTAGCCCCCTTCTCACTTAACTTCGGAGTTCCTACGAAATCCGAAGCCAGTGAGCTCCCAAAAGGCCGCGTGTTAGGTAGGGATAGAAATATACATTTAAGGATCACTCCCCTGGGCGATGTGGGATGTTACAATCCACCACCCTTAGGGGCCCAACGTCCTTGTCGGCACACACGTGGCTAGGGTTAGGCTCTGATACCAAATTGACACATCCTGGCCCGAGGTGGATCACTTCCAGGGCCCGCTCCACCACCATAACATGATATTGTCCGCTTTGGGCTTACCATTCCCTCATGGTTTTATTTTTGGGAACTCACAAGCAACTTTCAGTGGGTCACTCATTATGGGATTGCTCTAGCCCCCTTCTCGCTTAACTTCGGAGTTCCTACGGAACCCGAAGCAGTGAGCTCCCAAAAGGCCTTGTGTTAGGTAGGGATGGAAATATACATATAAGGATCATTCCCCTAGGCGATGTGAGATAGTCACAGTGGCAGTTTGTAATTAATATTAATAAATTATGAACGTCATTATTGTCTACTATCTAAAAGGATTTGGTTGTCTACATTTTTTTTTAACCTTGCACCCATTTAAACCTGCCCGTCCCCTCGCCAATTCCTGGCTTTGCCACTGATGGTCACATATATAATATAGTTAACCTAATCATAAATAATCATTATTCACAACGCTCTTTTCCTTCTGATGTCATCTTCATCTACACGTTCGTCCTGCGACGAGTGACCTAATGTGTGTATGTCAAGGTAGCCTTGCAAAATATATACTATGTAAGCCGCCAGCAAAAGGAAAAACCTAATAATATTATCTATTTCTAATGATCTTTCGTCTGTTGAAATTTGAAAGCAAATTTAGTTGATAAGTTAATAATGATGAGTCCATAAATTTCTATTAACATATGAACTCTCAGACTTGTTTTGTAAAAGGAATGACAACAGGGCAAGTGATTAAATTTCTTGAATTTCATTTTCAAGGATTAGCATTGAATAATCTTGCCTTCATATGGCATTAGTACGCAGCCTCAAGCGGTAGCAAGTCTGCTAATGGAATATTAGTATAATTAAGAAGATACAAAAATTTGTATTCTCTTTGTGGAACCAGATAATTAAGAGCATTGTTCAGACTTTTTTGTTGTAATTAAATCAAAATATCGGTCAATTAGATAACCATTTTATTTTTTTTTATTTTTAGATTTCATTTGGTTGTAGTGATGGAGGAAAAGTATATGGAGAAGTGAGCAATGTAAAAGGATGATGCGAGGTTCATGGGAAGAAGGAGCGGAAGAGAGAACGAAAAGTGAAATCAAATCCAAATTGCTTTTGGTTTTTTATTTTCACTTGTGCGTTATCTTATCATCATTTCTTGTATTTACTGTGACCAGAAAACGCTCTTAGTTCAGTTCAATAGAATATGGGTCTCCAAAACTCGAGGTTGTAGGTTCAAATCCTACAAAACGTGATTCTGTTATGTAGGCAACAATGGTAAGATGTGGTAAGCATGGTAATTGTATCCAAGGAAGCTAGTATAGTGAAAATATGCTCGACATTTTTATACCCCCTCCCTCTCTCCTATTTGTAGCAAAAAAAAAAATAAAAATAGTAAAGTAACAAAATGATTAACAAATGGGATCTTAGATCGGGACAATGAATTTTTCAGATCACCTAAATTAAAATCCAATTGGAACTAGGTTTTCTCTTTGCATCCGGTTTTCTCATCTAAACCCAATAATGAAGGCATTATCAAACTCTGCAACATAATGTATATCTCTCTCGTTTCTGGGTGAGAGGGATATAGCTAATTATAAACTCATGGACAATTCCATTAAGGATTATACTCTTGTTCCCACTTTGAAGGGATAAGCTCGTTCTTCATTATGCAAATAATGTATGTTCATTAAACAAATTTTATAATTAGAATTATTTTATAATTAGAATTGTTTAATTTCTTAATCTTCATTTAAAAATTAGTGCTATAAACAATAATTTGAATCAGAAATTATTTAGTCATTGAAATGTATAGTACAAATCAAGATACCAACACATATGAATGAACCATTCATTTATTTAATATATTTAAATGATTAAACAATTTTTTATTTGAATGATTTTTTGTATGAGCGATATTCAGATCATGACTAAGAAATTGAATGATTTCAATTGACGAGTTTATATATTTAAGATACGGTATTCATAAATGTAGGAATATGTGCATCATTTCATAAAAATGCAAGCATTATCCTTCCATTAATCGCAAGAGTAATATTACATTTGTCATATTTTTTTATGTCACATTTGTATCACTTCTTAAATAAAATAAGATTAATTAATATATGTAGATTTAATTTTTATTAGAAAAATGATACATAGAAACATGATAAAAGTAGATTTTTGTTATGTCAATTGAACTGCATCTATACGGACATATGTGACTCCGAGAACTTTCGGTCCGACGTGCCGATGTGTAGATATTCGTTAGAAGCGTGTGAACGCTAATAGCCGCTTTTACCAACTCTTTCACCGATCTCAGCAATAATTACGTCTGCAAGCTTGCAGACCCTTCCAATCAACTCAGCCACTGTTGAACGCGGCTTCGTCTTAAAACCTGTTTTTCTCCGAATCTTTTCCAAAACTTCAATTATCATGATTTTCCATTGGAAACGTCCTTGCTTTTCTTCAAAATTTGGGGCGGACGCTTCCTGGAAATAGCCAAGGACTGGAAAATGTATGACGTGTTCGTAAGTTTTAAATGCGAAAATACACGCAATGGCTTCACGGGCCATCTTCATGCGGCGTTCATACCAAACAAGTATTTAAGCTGTAAAATTTAAAATGTGCTTTTGAGTTTAAAATATAGATTCAAATAGAATACCAAACAAGTCCTAAACATCTTTTAAAATCCAAGTAGAACTACATTTTCTCTTTTGCACCTAGTTATCTCATCTAAACTCAATAATAAAGCATTATCAAACTATGCGACATAATGTATATCTCTCTCGTTTCTGGGTGAGAGGGACAGCTAACAATAAGCTCATGGAAAATTCCATCAAGTATAATACTTGTATTTCCACTTTGAAGGGTTGAGCTCATTCTTCATTATGCAAATAATGTATATACATCGTACAAATTTTATAATTGGAATTGTTCAATTTTTTAATCTTGAAATAGTTTAATTTCTTAATCTTCATTAAAGATCACTGCTGTAAAAAAATCATTTGGATTGAAGATCATTTAGTCATTGAAATGTATAGTACAAATAAAATATGTAAATACCAAGTACATATTCATAATGAACCGTTAATTTATTTGATACGTTTGGATAATTAAGCAATTTTTTATTCCAATGATCTTTAAATTATGACTAAGAAATTGTTGAATGATTTCAATTGCTGAGTTTAAATGTTTAAGATATGTTATTTG